TAATTGCTACTTTTTAAATATTGAAGAAAAAATATATCATTAAATAGTTAATTAAAGGAAAAAATGAAGAAAAAATATATCATTAAATAGAGTAAGCTACCATACAAATTTATAAAAAGCGAGTTTTATATACCAGTTTTTACATTTTATAAAATTAAAATTTTAAATATTTTTTATGAATTTTTTTCTATCCTAGGTTTTCAAAATTCATTTTTTTCAAAAAAAAGATATGTTATGCTTTCTAAAAATTAGCTTTATTATATAATTTTATTAAGATATAAATTAAATAGGTATTTCACTATAGTTAATTAGGAGGAAAAATTTATAAAAAATATGAAATAATAAGATTAATTAATAATTAATAAATTTAACAAAGAATGAAAAATTAAAAATCATAATATAAAGAAAAAGGAAAACAAATCAAATAAATTAAAAGAACTATAATATTTTAAATTAACTTTTATAATTAAAAATATTATAATGTAAAAAGAATAAATAGCTTTTATTAAGTGTAAGTTTTAATAGTAAAAAATGAAGAATATATATCAAATATTAAAAAATGAATAATAAATAATTAATAAAAAATTGAAACTAAATTAAGTTAAAATATAAAAAATTTTAGTTTTAATAAAATTCAATAAATAATGATAAAAATTTCTAAAATAAAAATTATTTATTTAAATATATAAAAAATATTAATAATAAAAAAAATAAAATTAATTAATAAAATATACTTGAGATCAATATGGATAACCTAATGAGATAAAAGCGAAGAGCTTTTAAACTTTTTTTATTAATAAATATTAATTTAAAGAATATTAATAAAAAAATTAATAATTACTTCTTCTAAATTTTTATATTTTTTAATCTATTATATCATTTATTTTTTTTCTCAAAAATATTGAATAGCAATTTATGAAATTTAATTAATTAATTAATTAATTAATTAATAATAAATGATTAAAAAGAACAAATAAATATAATAATTAATTAACTATCAAATATTAATTTATATATTTGGTTTTATGAAGAGATTTCACAGAAAATTAATTTAATATTCACTTCTTAAACTTAATATCTGTATTTAAAACATATATTTAAAAATGTAAAGAGTAGGAATTAGAGTTAGCCAGTTATTTATTTAGTCTTATTTGGAAAAAACCTAGTAGTTAATGCTCTTAAAATATTATAAAAATAATGTTTATAATTAGATTTTTCTCTTTTAGTTCTGTAATTTTAAAAATATTTATAATATCTCTAAGTTTTACAAGAAGTCTTACAAAAATATCATGGTTTGCATGCCACTTATTATGAAATATTTTTTTTTTATTTATTAAAAAATCTGATTTAAATACCATAAATCCTCATAAATTCTCATCAGCAAACATAAATTTTCACCATATTTTGTGAATATTTATTATTAAAAGCTTTGATTGTTTTTGGTCAAAATAGAGGGCTGGTTTTAGAGATATTCATATATTTAAGTAAATTTAATTTATGAACTCTCATTTTTTTAATAAGCTATCTACTTATTTACCAAAATAAATATGATATTCATGAATATAAAAATAAAAATAAATAAATAAATCTATCTATCTATATTTTTGTTTAAATTATCCTATTACAAAATATTATATAAGAAGACATATTATTTTCTACTGGTCATATATATATTTAATATTTATTCATCCTTTTTCATTACTATTCCATCAGTAAAAATATATTTTAAAGACAACTAATCTTTTAGATTTAAGACATTTGCTTTTTACTTTCAATTCTTATAGCACATTTAATTACGATGTTTCTCTATATTAAATTAAAATAAAATAAAATACTCAAAAAAATTAAATAGAATAAAATTTTTGAATAAAAAATTATATTTAAAATTATAAAATAAGCATTAGTAAAATAAAAAAGAAAAAATAAATAATTAAATCTAATAAAAAACTTTTTAACAAATTAAAATTTTAATTGTTTTAAATTCATTTTTCCATAAAAGTATCACAATCCAAAAGAAATAAACTGCTTTTACCTAAGATATAGTGTCAAATTTGAGAGATTAATGCAATTTGTTAAAGCAGAAAATAAGCCTAAAGTATATAAATCACCAATTTAATTAGAACTTATTAAATATTGAAAAATATATAATTAATAAGTTAATTAGAAGGAAAAAAATACGAAATGATCAGAAATGAATTAACAAATAATAAAAGCTAATGTTGAAAATAAAAAATGAGTGAAACTATAAAAGGTAGAAGAAATAAATACACACATATAATAAAATAAAAAAATTTTAAAATCTAATTAAAGCTAAAATTCAAATTAAAAAAGAGTTTAATTGTTTTAAATTCATTTTTATAAATTGTAATATCACAATTTAAATCAAATTAACTGTTTTTACCTAAGATCAAGTGTCAAATTTGAGAGATTAATGCAATTTGCTAAAGCAAAACCTAAGCCTTATGCACCACTTGCACGAATATAATTTCCACTTTTTAAATATTGAAGAAAAAATAATTAATTCATAAATTATTTAGAAAGAATGAAGAAATAAATACAAATACAACTACAATAGAAAAGAAAAAAATTAATAAAATCTAATTAAAAGCTAATAAACAAATTAAAAGAGTTTAATTGTTTTAAATTTATTTTAAAAAATAGAAGTATCACAATACTAAACAAATAAACTGTTTTTACCCAAGATAAAGTGTTAAATTAGAGAGATTAATGCAATTTGCTAAAGCTGAACCTAAGCCTAAAGCACCTTAATCACAAATTTAATTTTTACTTTTTAAATATTGAAGAAAAAATATATAGTTAATAAGCTATTTAGAAAGATATAAGATACAAAAACACAAGTACGTACAATAAAAAATAAAAAGATTAAAAAATCTAATTAAAAGCTAATAAACAAATTAAAAGAGTTTAATTGTTTTAAATTCCTTTTTATAAATAGAAATATCACAATCCAAAACAAATTAACTGTTTTTACCTAAGACCAAGTGTCAAATTTGAGAGATTAGTGCAATTTGCTAAAGCAGAACCTAAGCCCAAAGTACCTTAATCACAAATTTAATTATTACTTTTTAAATATTGAAGAAAAAAATATAGTTAGTTGATAAGCTATTTGGAAAGATAGAAGACATAGAAACATAAGTACAATAAAAAATAAAAAGATTAAAAAATAAAATTAAAAGCTAATAAACAAATTAAAAAAGTTTAATTGTTTTAAATTCATTTTTATAAATATAAATATCACAATCCAAAACAAATTAAGTGTTTTTACTAAAGATAAAGTTCCAAATTTAAGAGATTAGTGCAATTTGCTAAAGCAGAACCTAAGCCTGATGCACCACTTGCACCAATTTAATTTCCACTTTTTAAATATTGAAGAAAAAAACTATAATTAATAAGCTATTTAGAAAGAGAGTAGATATATAAACACAAGTACAATAAAAAATAAAAAGATTAATGATAAATAAATCTAATTAAAAGCTAATAAACTATTTAAATGAGTTTAATTTTTTTAAATTCATTTTTATAAATAGAAATATCACAATCAAAAACAAATTAACTATTTTTACCTAACATCAAGTGTAAAATTTGAGAGATTAGTGCAATTTTCTAATCCAGAACCTAAGCCTAAAGTACCTTAATCACCAATTTAATTGAAACTTTTTAAATATTGAAGAAAACATATATAATTAATAAGCTATTTAGAATGACTGAAGAAATACAAACACAAGTAAAATAAAAAATAAAAAGATTAAAAATCTAATTAAAAGCTAATAATCAAATTTAAAGAGTTTTTTTGTTTTAAATTTATTTTAAAAAAATAGAAATATCACAATCAAAACAAAATAAATTAACTGTTTTTACCTAAGACCAAGTGTCAAATTTGAGAGATTAATGCAATTTGCTAAAGCAGAACCTAAGCCTAAAGTACCTTAATCACTAATTTAATTGAAACTTTTTAAATATTCAAGAAAAAAAATATATAATTAACAAGTTATTTAGAATGATAGAAGAAATACAAACACAATTTCACACAAATCTAATTAAAAGCTAATAAACAAATTAAAAGAGTTTAATTGTTTTAAATTTATTTTTATAAATAGAAATATCACAATCGTAAACAAATATATAAATTGTTTTTACCTAAGATCAAGTGTCAAATTTGAGAGATTAGTGCAATTTTCTAAAGCAGAACCTAAGCCTAAAGTACCTTAATCACCAATTTAATTGAAACTTTTTAAATATTGAAGAAAAAATATTAATTAATTAATTAATAAGTTATTTAGAGTGAATGATAAATTAAATACAAATAAACACAAGTATGTACAATAAAAAAGAAAAACTTTAATAAATCTAATTAATTAATTAATTAAAAGCTAATAAACAAATTAAAAGAGTTTAATTGTTTTAAATTCATTTTTATAAATAGAAATCTCACAATTTAAAATAAATAAACTGTTTTCACCTAAGATCAAGTGCCAAATTTGAGAGATTAGTGCAATTTGCTAAAGCAGAACCTAAGCCTAAAGTACCTTAATCACCAATTTAATTTTCACTTTTAAAATATTGAAGTTAAAATATATAATTAATAAATTATTTAGAATGATAGAAGAAATACAAACACAAGTTCAATAAAAAAGAAAAACATTAATAAATCTAATAAATATGAAATAAATAAACTGTTTTTATCAAATAAAAGTGTTAGAAGGAAAAAATGTATAAAAATTTGTATTGAATTTACAAATTATAAGGTGAATAAAATTACTAAAAATTAAAAAAAAATAATGTATGAATATTGGTGATAATTTATTTCTATTAGAAAAATAATATTTTTAATAAACTGAACATTAAATTAATAATAATAATATCTATAAATTAATTATACCTCAGATCTATATCAATAACCTAATAAGATTAAAGTGAAGAGTTTAAAATCTTTTTATATTTGTAAAAATAAATTTAAAGTATATTAATAAAAAAATAAATAATTACTTCTTCTAATTCTTTAAAATATTTAATCTATTACATCATTTTATATTTTTTTCAAAAATATTGAATAGCAATTAATGAAAATTTAATTAATTATAAGTAAATAAAAAGAACAATAACTTTCTTTGATTATTAAATCTTAATATTTCTATTTAAAAAGTGTACTTAAAAATTTACTATGAACTAGAGATTGGATATAAAGGATAGATAGTGAGTGAGTAAGAATACGAACTCACTAGAATAAAAAATTTTTTGATGTATTTATGAGTATTAATATATTTATTTTCATATTTTTAAAAATCTTACATTTTTGAATGAGTAAAATTTAAAAATAAATATAAAAGTTATATGTACATTTTATTTCAAAAGTACCCATAGATTAAGCAAAACCTCCAAACCTCCAATTTTTATTTTCTAGAATTTTTAGAGAACATTTTATAATAAATAATAAGTTAAGCACTTTAAAATTTATAATACCACGTTAAAAAAAATTACATAAATTCTTGATATGAAATAAGCTTATAAAAAGCAAAATTCAAGCATTGATAACTTTTAAATTCATTAATTTACTCTAAATATTCTTAAATAAAAAAATCAAATTTGTATTGTCTGAATGAATAAATGATAGTTTAAAAAACAATTATTTTATGATTTTAAAAAATATAAAATGAAAAAAATGACCACTAAAGTTAAAATAAAAAGTGAAACTTGATTTCTCCCTGAGGTTTTATTTAAATCTTGGCATCTAATTAATCATGATAAATAAAAAAAGGATAGAAATATGATTGATGGATCATATTTAAGATTAAAATATAACTGGCATATAAAAGTTTGGCATTTATATAATTTAATAAAATGTAATATAACACTAAAAGTTTCAAATTATTTGATCATTTTTGGAGAAACCAGAGGGTTTGCTTATAAGGATTTAATTTATTTAAGTAAATTTAATTATTTTATTTTTTATAAATAATTTATTTACTTACAAAAATATGAATGATATTTAATAATATAAAATCAATAATAAAATCTATCTATCTATTATATTTTAGGTTAAAAACACTTTTTCAAAATATTATATAATAAAATATATAATACTATTCAAACATTTTATATTTATTCATCCTTTTTTCACCAGTTGTTTATCAATAGAAACCAATATTAAAGACAACTAATCTTTTTGATTTAAGACACTTGCTTATTACTTTTTATGATTCATTCATTGAGCTAAAAATTTTAAAATAAATTTGTGTAAATTTTAAAATAAATATCAAAATGGAATAAACTTTTAAATTAAAAATTATTCTTTAAATTAATAAATAAAATAATTTGAGTGGAACAAAAAAGATAAAAAAATAAAATAAATAAAGCTATCAAATAAATTCAAATAGCTTTTTTGTTTTATATTCATTTTTATAGTTTGAAATATCACAATCCAAAACAAATAAACTGTTTTTACTAAAGGTAAAGTGTCAAATTAGAGAGATTAATGCAATTTGCTAAAGCAGAACCTAAGCCTGATGCACCAATTGCACCAATTTAATTGTAACTTTTTAAATATTGAAGAAAAAATATATCATTAAATAGTTAATTAAAGGAAAAAATGAAGAAAAAATATGAAATAATAAGAAATAAATAATAAAAGAAAAAGCTGAAAATAAAATGATGAGCTAAATTAACAAAGAAAAACATAAAAAAAGCAAGCACAATAAAAAGAAAAAGAAAAAAGAGCTTTATTGTTTTTAATTAGTTTTTATAATTTAAAATATCACAATCCAAAACAAATAAACTGTTTTTACGAAAGGCCAAGTGTCAAATTTGAGAGATTAATGCAATTTGCTAAAGCAGAACCTAAGCCTGATGCACCTTCATCACCAATTTAATTTCGACTTTTTAAATATTGAAGAAAAAATATATCATTAAATAGTTAATTAAAGGAAAAAATGAAGAAAAAATATGAAATAATAAGAAATAAATAATAAAAGAAAAAGCTGAAAATAAAATGATGAGCTAAATTAACAAAGAAAAACAAAAAAAAAGC